TTGATATATTTTTTGGTGCCTTTACTTCCTGAGACAGTTGTAAGCACTGTGTAACTGCCTCGAGGGTGCTTGACCATTTTAACACAACGTGGTGCGATCATCCCCCTTGCGCGGAGTGAGGGGGGGTGGGGTATAGATGAAGGAAGCGGCTTGGCTAAAACTGTGTGATCCAAGGAGGGACATCGCTATCGTGGTTCTCTCTCGACTTGTTTGCGCTTTCCTCGAGCGGGCGCAGCGTGGAACAAGGGGGGTGGGAGGCGGTACTCAATCTGTCGACCGTCGCCATGTTTGCTGTTGGCCATTTAGCACACACGCTTAGTCAGTCGTCGAAGAAGCAAGAAATCCACAACCGTTGCTGGTTAAACGCCGCCAAGGGAGGGAATAACACGGTCGCATGCAAGGAAAGAAGAGTCGACAAACAGGCGAAGGTCCTCTCACCGTGAGCCAGAAGTCTTCCACCAGCTGGTCCGCGAAAGACTTGATCATCTGCGAGGTCGAGCCGGCGGATGGGGAAGGACAGCCGTGCGAAGGGGGTGGGGCGTAGGGGGGGGTCGCATCGAGAACAGTAGCAGCACAACCCCTTGGTAGCATCAGCAGCCGCAGTGAGGCAAGCGGAGACTCAACGATTAGGAGCATGGCATAAAAGAAGCAGGCAGGCTACACGACTCTTAGACGGCGGCTTTCAGTCGGGTCTGGTGCCGAACAACCCATTCGCCTGCAGTCCCTCGGGTGGCGTGCTTCCGCCCTTGCTGTTTGCGAAACAAACTGGCCGTAGAAAAGGGCCTCCCACACTTCACGCGAAATATTAATGGGCTCAGAGGAAAGAAACTAAAAAAAAAACGCTCGTCAGACTTCTCGGTGTGTGTAGTGCCTCACGGTTAACTGGCCGCCCCACGGGTTCGTCTCCAAGTGTTTCTCGGTTTACTACTACTTCGTCGCAGACTGACCCGCAACTTGTCGGGGACTGTTGCTATCAAGTCACGGGATACCGACGGAGAAAACCAAAACGCCAAGAAAGAGCCGTGCGATGTAATATGATGTCAATCGATGGATGGACGGGGGTGGCGACCGATAATTTATGCAGTCCACGTTAAGATGAAGACCAACACGTGCGCATGCAAAAGGGCCCCAACAAAATTCGGGTCACAGAGCACCGGGGTACCAGTAGAAGCTGAACGGGTCTAGTTTGGCTGGCACTACATATGCAGTCGCTCGTGCTGTGAATTTCTATCCCGAAAATGTCCGCAACGCGGTGAAAAGGCACAAGCGGTGACTGTGAGGTTCCGGCTATTCCACCAGCTCCTCTCACATAAAAAACTAGTTAGAAGGTCATCGCTTTCCGTTTTGTCGTGAACCCACGCAGTCGTTGGAAAATTGGCCGCGGAATCCATCTCCATGGAGGTTACGGGATGGGGCTGGTCCTGACGGGGGTATTGGAGCGGGAGGAGAATGGTTTCCCCGCGAATGCTGGCGAAGGAAATGGACGATTCAAAGGTTTTACGACTCCTTACAGAGGTACTACGGGCAACTCACGGCGGCAGAGAAAGGTAGAGATAGATGCAGAGCGAGAGGTAGATGGAGAGAGAGAGAGTTGGAGAGAGAGAGAGAGAGAGAGAGAGAGAGAGGCACATCTTAGAGACGAAACGTCCTTTCGAGGGGCAGCTATCAACAGTACATTGCAATAGATTTGTTCGTTTTGCTGACGGCACCCCCGCGGAAACAAACAAACGGGGATAGGATGTACTCCAATCGTAGACACTTTCATTCACCTCCCTCTTGGTGCTTTCAGCCTCCTTCGTTTTGATGTGCTCCGTGAGGCCTTGCAAGTCCAGCAGCTCGAGCTGCTGCTCCTCGCTGCGCGCAAGACGATGAACGAACAAAAATGTCCCACACAAAAATTAACACGGCCTGAGTTTTGCGGAAGATGATCAGCGTGTCCAAACTAAAACGGTCATGAGCGACGAGTCCTCGACAGTCGCACAAAAAGCTGACGCAGACACACGCGTCACACACAACTGTCGCATGAGAGTCGACCGAAAACGCAGTTTGGAATTACAGAACAAAAGGCACAAGACAACAAGGAATCACAGAAAAAAAGGCACAGACAACAAGAAGCGGGCAGAGATACTTGTGTGTTCGTACACGAACAGTGGGCGGCCGGAAAGGCCCTGGGCAAAAAAAACAATACTGTATCTATACCACTGTTGGAACAAGCGAGCAGAGTATCACTCCAGCAAAGCCGAGCTTCGCAGGGAAGGGGTACTCTCCACTTGCTGTGTCGTTTGGGGGAAGAGAGGGGGGGGATCGGGGCGATGAGTGAGGGGGTCACAAGAAGATACGTTCGACAGAAACACATGAAGAGAAGGGAGCTAAAGCAGGGGTAGTCGCGCCAGCTGCGGCGGCGGTTAGCCACAGAACCGGACAACCCACCGAGTACCCTCACTCTCATAGCGCGTAGCCGTGAACCGTCGGCGCTGGCACGCTGATCATGGATGCCCACAAACACCCCCCATGGAAGCACGCAACTTCTACTCTGTGACACAGACGTTTTGGGCGGCACGTTTCCACTTTTCCCCTTTTTGTCACTCTCGCCCGCTTTTCGCCCCCTCCAGGCCAACGGTCTTCCGCTTACGTCATGCACGGCTACGAGTATAACCTCCCCCACACTCGTCCCCCTCGGTGTTTGCCATCGGGGTTGGGTTTTCGTCGCTTGGCAACGACGTTGTAAAACAAGCCAATTCACTTCGTGAACTCGGCAACCAGGTTACCGTTTTTTTTTTTACCTCTGTTTTTTTTTTTGGCGGTAACCATAATGGTGGTCGAGTAGATCATGTTGTGCGGGGTGGAGAACCCTCACTCCGCGCAAGGGGGATGATCGCACCACGTTGTGTTAAAATGGTCAAGCACCCTCGAGGCAGTTACACAGTGCTTACAACTGTCTCTGGAAGTGAAAGCACCAGAAAATAAATTAATTCATACGCAGCTGTCATCCGTACGCAAG